CTCAAAAAAAAAAAACTTTATTTAAATATTTTTTTTTATAGGAGATGGGCAAACGAGCATGCGGCTCACCTGATGGTAAGTGACTACCGCCGCCCATGAACAACTGCAACACCAGGGGAATCGCAGATGCGTTGCCGGCCTTTTAAAAAGGAGTACGCTCTTTTCTTGAAGGTCCCTAAGTCGTATTGGTCCGGAAAAATCGCTGATGGTAATCGATTCCACAAGGAGGTCGTGCGAGGAAGAAAACATCTTCTAAATCGCACAGTGGTGGACCGCCAATCATCCAGATGGTGTGGATGGTATCGGGAGTTCTGCCGCGATGTGCGTTCGTGAAATTTGGCGGCTGGGATTAATCCGAACAATTCCTCAGAGCACTCCCCATGGTAGATGCGAAAGAAAATGCAAAGGGATGCAACATCTCTTCGCAGTGCCAATGAATCGAGCCGATCGGAAAGGGCTCGGTCGTCGACAATTCGAGCCGCTCTGCGTTGGATGCGGTCAAGTGGAAGGAGCTGGCACTGGGGAGCCCCTGCCCAGAGATGGGAACAGTATTCCATGTGAGGCCGAACTTGCGCCTTGTAAAGTAGCAGGCGGTGTGCCGGCATGAAATACTGTCCCGCTCTGCTGAGCACGCCAAGCTTTTTAGAGGCCAATTTAGCCTTCCCTTCCAAGTGACCACGAAACTGCACGTCACTCGATATGTCGACTCCGAGGATACCGATACTGGCTGAGGCAAGAAGGGGAGTGTCTTGAAACTGAGAAGATACGACAAAGGGGTTCTTTTTAGCGGTAAACGCGCAAACTTGTGTCTTCTGAGGACCAAACTGGACTAGATTTAGTCGCCCCCAATCCGAGACCTTGTTCAGCAAAGACTCGACTTCAGACACAAGTTTGTTCCGGTACTCAGCGACGTTTTCCCGAGAAATATTGCTCTATACACGGTTGGTGTATTGAGCATCACCAGTGCTGTCATCCGCATAGCAATGAATGTTACCAGTTAGCAACATATCATTGATATGCAGAAGAAACAGCGTTGGTGATAGCACACAGCCTTGTGGAACACCAGCGTTAATAGGCTTGTAGTCAGAGCATGCACCGTCTACAACGACCTTGATGCTCCGATCTACAAGGAAGCTGGTGATCCAATTGCACAATTTCTCGGGAAGCCCATAGGAAGGGAGCTTCGAAAGAAGCGCTTTGTGCCAAACCCGATCGAAGGCCTTCGCAATGTCCAGACTAACGGCCAACGCCTCCCCCTTGGACTCTACTGCCTCCGCCCATCTATGGGTCAGGTAGACCAGAAGATCACCAGCTGATCGACCCCGACGAAAACCGTATTGGCGGTCACTAATCAGCTGGTGATCCTCAAGGTACCGGATGAGCTGGCAGTTAATAATGGATTCCATTATTTTGGAGAACAAGGAGGTGATCGCGATAGGCCTATAGTTGGATGGGTCTGAGCGGTCGCCTTTTTTAGGGATCGGGTGGACAAAAGCTGTCTTCCATGAATTCGGGGCTACGCCTAGGGAGTAGGAGTACCGGAAAAGACGCGTTAGGACCGGTGCCAACTCCGGAGCACACGTCTTTAGCACAATTGGGGGGATTCCGTCAGGCCCACTCGACTTCTGTATGTCCAGGGAGAGCAGTGCTTTGCGAACCGAGCGCTGTGAGAACAGCACATCCGGCATGGAGCACTCACACCGCGGGATGGTCGGCGGTGGTTTCCCCCCGTCATCAAGAGTCGAGTTGGACGCAAAAAGGGAGCCTAAAAGGTCGGCTTTGTCTTTTGCGTCATGGGCCAGTGAGTCATCCCCCCTGTGCAGAGATGGTAGTGATGGCTTACAGAAATTCCCTTGGACAGCCTTGGCGAGAGACCAGAATGCACGGGTTCCCGAAGGAAGGCGAACTAGTTTCTCGCCAATTCTGCCTATGTGCTCTGACTTTGCCCTGGCAATAACTCTTTTGAAGGACCTGGAGGCGAAGTTATACTTCTTTTTAAGTGTGCTGGTATTTACATCCCGAGTCGCCGAAGCCGCAGCCCAGGCTTGATAACACTCCTGCTTACTGCGTAATGCAGTCTTACAGGAGCGACCAAACCAAGGCTGAGATCTGCCTCCGATGGGTACCACAGATGATGGAATAAATAGTTCCATTCCCTGTAGCACCACATCAGTGACAGAGTCAGCAACAGCGCTGGGATCATCCGGCGAGAAGCAAACCATGGGTAGGATGCAAAAAAGGACCGCATTCCGTCCCAATCCGCCGACCTGTAATGCCAAACACGGCGGCAACCTGTAGAACGCAACCGCGAAGGGAGCGTGAGTGGCACCACACTCCGGATCAGACAATGGTCCGAAGAGCCGAGAGGGGCATCGACGGAAACCTGATATCCGTCCGGATGAGAGGTCAGCAGAAGGTCCAACAGGGAAGGTGTATGATCCTCCACATCTGGAATCCGCGTAGGCGAAGTAACCAGTTGTGTCAGACCATATGCCAAGGCAAAGTCATAAACAGATCTCCCCGCATGATCGGTTAGACGTGAACCGAGCCATTCGGCATGGTGGGCGTTAAAATCGCCAAGGATCACGATCTCTGCGGATGGGACCTGTTGTAGCAAGAAATCTGTAGCCATTTGGACGTGGTCGATGAGTCGGTCTGTTTCGGCATTACCGCTATAGGACCTATAGAGGCACCCGTAGACGCGCGGATGGTCGTCGCTGTCTACGCGTAGCCAAAGGATGAACAGGTCCGAACCTTCAAGACTGCCGAGGCGTCGAGAACAGATGTCCTCTCTGACATACACGCAAACTCCAGTCCGAGGCACAAAGGAATGCTCCAATTTGTACCCCAGGTAGGAGAGATACGAAATATCAGCCGGAGAGGAAACCTGCGTCTCGGTCAGAAAGAGCAAGGCCGGCTTCGCCGTCTCGAGATGGTAGTGGACGGCGTTTAGGTTAGAGTGAAGTCCCCTGATGTTGCAGAAATTCACGGATAGCGTGGCAGGGGTCGCCTTGGTGTTCTTGCTCAGTTTGCCCCTAGCAGTAATGCTTTTGAGCGAAATTTCGCCCCCCCCCCTAGAATACGCGGGGCAGCCTGAGCACCCACGCTCAGGATCGGAATAACATGGTCGTGGATGCTCAGCGAGGGATTCTCCAGGGGTGCTGGTACCCTCCTGGGGTAGTTCTTCGTGTAATTCCGCTACCATGTTGATGGGGGGGTGTGGGGGATTGGGCCTCCGGCCACCTGCACTCACCAGACGAAACGCACAAGCAAAGCTTCTACTTCACGCCGGTATTCTGTGAGGTCGTGGTACCAACCCGGCTCGAGTCGGCCCATACATGCAACAGCAAAAACTGCTGCTTGGCTCTACCAACGTTAAAAAATGTAGCTATTGTAAAAATCCGGGACATATGAAAAATGAAAGTCGCAAGCGACAATATAACAATGGCATTCGTCGTAATATGCAACCAGATACTCGCCGGACAACTACGTTACCAAGTTCCAGTACACACACACCTAATAGAAATAATATGCATTTATGTGACGCACAACCACCTACCTTTAGTGACGATATTTGTAACGAAGATTTAAACTAATTCCGATTTCGGAAAGTGCCTATCGAAATCGAAAATATTCAAAGGCACAAATAATTATTGCTATTTTACTAACTCTTATACTAAATCCTATACTAAGCCTATGTATAATGATAACGAATTTAATTATAATTATCATACAAAGTGTTCTTATAATACACCTCAGCGACATCAAATACCGCCGAGTCTTACTAAATCGTGTAATTTAAAAAATACTATTTCTTATTCTAACTCTACACCTCGGGAACAATATCCGAGTCCATCTTTGACACAAGGTCAAAGTCAAAATACAAATTATTTATTACCTCGGGAAAGTCATCCCCCGACATTTCTGAATCAATATCAGAGTCTAAAAAATAATTATAATACTAATTCTTGTACTAATTCTTATACCAATTCTATGTCTAATAATGATGCTAATTCTTATACAAAACCTACATCTTGAAAAGATATTTTGAATTACACTAACCCTATCTATGATTTAACTAATAATAAAGGTGAAATACCAACAAATATTATGAACATATCAAGTAAGAAAACATCACTGCCCCATGTTTATTTTAGGTCAAATTTTTCGGTTCAACCCTTACGATTGTTACTCGATACAGGCGCAAGTGTTTCTATTGTAAAAAAATCGAGTTTTGAAAACAGCACTCAATCTTGTAACGAAACGTTAGAAACATTACTGTTAGATTTTATTTTATATAATTTTTCCATAAAATACAAATTTCATGTTACATTAGATGATATTAATATTGATTACGACGGAATTATAGGAAGCGATTTCCTCAGTAATTTTAAAGTAAATATAGATTATCATATTTATTCACTTTGTTTTAAAAATGTTATGTCTGTGCCTATCCACTTTTCGGAACCTACTTACATTATACCGGCGCGTAGCGAAACTGTTATCAAATAACCCGTCCGAGTTACGTCACCTTAAGGATGCACTCATACTAGATCAAACCGTTTGTAATGGTGTTTATTTAGCGAACTGCCTAATGACTTTAAAAACAAATAAAAGAGTTAACGTTTCCATCTTGAACACAACCGAATCGCAAATTAAAATAAAAGACCTCAAGTTGAAATTAACGCCGATCGATTTTAAGGAATATTCCAAATCTTTTGAATCGTGTAATAACATAAATACAATTTCAACAACCCACTCTAATCGTGTTCAACGCATCGCGAACAAATTCGTCACTCTCATTTAAACTCTGAAGAGAAAAAACTTTTACTAGATTGTTGTTCACAATACTCAGACATATTTTATCTTCAAGGAGACGACCTCACCTGTACAAACGCGATTCAACCGTCGATAAATACAGGGAACACCCCTCCTATTCACGTTAAGTCATATCGTTTTCCTGAATGCCATAAATACGAAGTAGATTCACAATTAAAAAAATGTTAAAACAAAATATAATTAAGGCGTCAATATCTCCGTTAAGCGCCCCAGTGTGGGTCGTGCTTAAGAAAATGGATGCATCTGGCAAAAAGAAGTGGCTCATTGTTATAGATTATAGGCGACTTAATGATGTGACCTTAAATGAAGTTTATCCTATTCCTATTCCATTAATTAGCCATATATTAAATCAATTAGGACATTCTAAATATTTTTCGACACTTGATTTAGTTTCCGGCTTCCATCAAATTCCTCTCAATCCTAATGATGCTGAAAAGACTGGTTTTACAGTAATCAACACAAATGCCATTTCCGGTCATTTTCAATTTGATCGCATGCCCTTTGGTTTAAAAAGTGCTCCTAGTACGTTTCAACGTCTCATGAATACCGTCCTTTCTGGTCTCCAAGGTCTCCACTGTTTCGTCTACTTAGATGACTGTATTATTTACAGATAGGTTTCGAGATTTTAATTTTAAACTATAACCAGATAAATGCGAGTTCCTTCGACGCGAAGTCATTTATTTAAGTCACGTACATACCTGACAAAGTAAAATCAATATCCAATTATCCTATTCCCAAAAATCCCAAGGAAATTAAATCATTTCTAGGTCTAGTAGGCTAGTACCGTCGATTTATAGATAACTTTTCAAAAATGACAAAACCCCTTACCTTATTATTAAAAAAGATGTTAATTTTGATTGGTTACAAGAACAAACCCAAGCTTTCAATTTGTTAAAAGAAAAATTAACTTCAGCTCCGTTACTCCAATATCCAGATTTTTCGTAACCGTTTATTGTCACCACAGACGCCAGTTATTATGCCGTTGGCGCAGTATTATCGCAAGGTCCTATTGGAAAAGGCAAACCGATCGCGTATGCCTCAAGAACATTAAATAAACAAGAAGGCAACTATTAAACAACGGAAAAAGAACTTTTAGCTATCCTCTTAGCTGTTAAAAATATTTCGTCCCTTTATTTATGGTAATAAATTTAAAATAGTCACTGATCACAGTCCTTTGGTCTGGCTTTTTAATGTCAAGGATCCAGGAAGTAGATTAATTCGCTGGCGCCTCAAGTTAGAGGAATATGATAATGAAATTATATATAAGCAGGGAAAGCAAAATTTAAACGCCGATGCTCTTTCTCGCATACCCATTCACGCCTTAAATTCGAATGTAGTCCTTAATAAACTTAAATATGAATCATATTTTAAAAAGCAATTTACTAGTTCCATTTCCACAAATACTGTAGTCGAAGAACATCAAGAAGCTTTACGCTTCTCTAAATTAAATAATATTGTTTGCCCAGTATTCCTCGAATTTGATGATCTATCCCATATTGTAAAGATATTCTATCACAGTTGCAAAACTCTGAAAGCTTAATAAACTCGAAACGAGAACCTTACACTATCTCTTATATTAAGGAGAGTAATAAAACGTTTTATTTCTTATATACAAAAATTCACCATTACGAAGAATTAACATACCGAAACATTTACAATTTATTAATAATAATAATAATAATAATTTATTTGATACAGACAACACAGATCCATTACAAAATTAAAATTAATTTTTTTAAACTATACCTTAAATTTTAATTATAATTATTCGTTAATCAATGATATTATTACATTTTATTAATTACATTTTAATAAATTTGACCATCTACTACATGCATAAATATTGAAAATAATTTTGATGAGATTATTCTGCGACCCAAAAACAAAACTTCTAAATCGCGCGATACGGTGACGGATCAACGCATCCAAACCAACGACACGGGCCTCTGCGAACATCTGAGACGCGCTACAGTATCGTGGCTGAATGCAATGCTAATTCAATGCTCAATGCTAATGCAACTACGCGACAATATTATAACAGGAAATAGTCAAACCACTGACTTAGCCATTTCCGATTTTGCTGACCCGTTCTCTAAATTATCCTATACAAAAATATACAATATAATTGCCTACATATTTCACAATACTAATATTAAAATTCATATATACCTAAATCAAATTATTTACCCTACTCCTGCCGAAATTCCACGAATTCTCAAAGAAAATCACGACTCAACAAGTGCTGGTCACCCCAGAATTAAAAGGATGTTAAACCGCTTAAAACACATATTTTTGGAAAAACATGCGCTCCGACATAGAAAATTATGTTAAAAATTGTAAGTTGTGCCAAGTAAATAAACCACTAAGAATATGTAATAATGCTCCAATGGTGATAACTACTACAAGCACAAAATCACTTGAAAGATTAGCTCTAGATATAGTCGATCCACTACCCGAAGCTGGTTTGCAAAACTTCAAATTCATATTAACCCTACAAGATGACTGAACCAAATTTTTATGTATATATCCAATGATAACTTCCAGCTGTGAGGAAGTAGCTCGTACATTACTTCATTTTATCTCTGTGCGGAATTCCTAAAACGATATTAACAGATCTGCACACAGGTATCACGTCGGAATTATTTAAACAGGTAATTGAAATATTTAAAATAAAACCCTTATATGCTACCTCCTGTCACCCACAAACAAATGGTGCCTTAGAACGTAAACATGCTACACTCAAGGAATATCTTAAATCTTTTGTCAACGAAAACCAGAATGACTGGCATTGTTTTCATTTAACCACTGCAGTATTTTCCTACAACAGTACCCCTCATACCTCTACTACATATATACCCTATGAATTACTATATGGGCATAAACCAACAATACCTAATTCTTTATATTATACGAGTAACGATACAACTTATCATGAATTACAATATCGCATGAATCTTAGTCGACAAAAGGCACTAGAACACAATCAAAAGTAAGTAAAAATCAAATAAATATTATGACACAAATAGTAAAAATATATCCTACAAAACAGGTGATATAGTTTACTTAAAATTTCACCATAGACTTCGCAAAGCCCTATCCCCTATCTGGAAAGGTCCTTATAAAATAATTAAATTAAATGGCAAACATAATGTAACTCTTCTCATAGGTCGTAAGCATGTGAAATACCATATTAATGAAATTAAACCAGCTCACCTATTCAACGCTGAAACTCAAATTCTACCTATTTACAATAGTCCAGGTATTTATTTCGATCAAATAACTACAATTAATTTTTATAACGATTTTTGGAATGTTGTAACGCATATAGACGTAGTTTCACTTATGTAAGCCACATCTAGACAATATACATTCACTTATAATCAAAACTGCAACGCTCTGCAAAAACTTGCAACTCCGTGGTTTCGTTGAATTTAATAACATCATAAGTCTTATTGGAGTATTATTAAATTCAAATTTTTGCTAAATTCGAATCTTTGTCGCATATAATTTCTAGCGAGAAACAAACAAAGCATAAACGAGCTTTAGAATTCGGTGGAGAAATTTTGAAATTCTTTTTTGGAACTCTAGATGCTGATGATGTACGAAAATACGATGCAGCAATTGGCGGTTGTCAAAATAGCGAATCCGAACTACTAAAACTAATGAAGGATAATATCCACATAATTCGATCTTCTATTAATGTTTTTAACTCGACTTTATATAAACTCAATATGAAGGAAAATAGATTAAATTCTCAAATAAATTCATTAAATGTTGTGTTATCCCAAATTGTCAAAAACAATAATCAAGTATCACATATTTCTAAAATATATGCTTTACTTAATATAATAAAAAGCTCTTTGGCCACTATTTCTAATTTCTTAGATAATGTACTAAACTCTACCTTATTTTCTAAGGCAAACATTTTACATCCTAGTGTGATAAGACCTACAAACTTATTTCGTGAACTATTAAAACAGAGTAACTATATAAATAAGCGACTAGATTTTCCAGTATCATTAACGGTTGAAAATATACATACTCTGATAGATATTTCAAAACACACATCCTTTTATTATAATAAAAGTATAATTTTCATATTACGCATAACATTGATTTCTTCTTTAAAGTTCCTTTATACAAATGCATACCCTTACCATCTCCTCATAATCGTAGTAATCCTAACTCTTTCGCTCTAATTCAATCCACCAAGCCTTATCTAGGAATAACAGAAGATAGACTTAGTTAAAGTTTGTTAGATAATTTAAATGATTGTAATATTATCAGTAATGATTATTCTATATGTCCTTTAATTTCTATATTTTCTACAATAAAGAATCCATCATGTGAAACGAAATTGTTAACTGAACTGAACTGGTAACGTTATCCTTGCCATCGCAATGTAATTCTAAACATTTATTTGGACAAATCGATGTATGGCATAAATAAATAATAATAAGTTTATCTACGTACAATCTGAAAAATATAAATTTACTATAAAATGTAATAATATAATACAAGATTTTACTATTTTAGACAGAGATATCCTAAGTTTAAATGAAAGCTATATTGGTTTTTCTAAGACAATTCAATTATTACCATCTTAAACTAAATCTATTAAAATTGAAAATAAAATGAATTTAAACTTTAATATTACAGAAGACGATTGTGGTAATAAAGAAGTTTTAAATAAATCGTATAAGGGACTGCAGTGGACTGTATGATTTTAACTAACTGATTGACTAACTAACTGTGCCTCGACTGATGTTACTTAAGGTAGACTACACTAGGGACTGTTCAAGAAAAGAGGGTACTGTAGACGATTATTATATTCAAATATTTACAATGCGGCTTTCACTAAACTATATGTACAGAGGGGAATCTTCAATCTTCAATGGAGTATTAATTCTTCTCTCTTGATTTCTCTTGATGTTTCTTCTCTTGCTGTTGTCTTCAAGTGCCGCTTCCGAAATGAACAGCTCACAGACCAAAACGCCCTTCTTATATCTCAAAAGAGAGTGTCTCTGTGTGTAGCGTCGTGAGGTATGATGCGCGCTAATTCGTCGACGGCATCACGTGATATTCGGGCGGTGTATGGGGTGCGTGTTGTGCAACGGGGTATGAAGGGGCAACGGGGCGGCGGCTCTCCTCGCCGTCCGTAACAATCGATTCCCTACTTATCTCCTATATCTTTACTAGCCTGGATATAGAAACATTAAAATATTCTTATCATTCCTTAAATAACTTAAAAAATGAGATCAATAAGGCTCAGGAACAATCTCACATTATCAAATATGGTAATTACTATTCATCGTTTACATACTTATTGATTATTTGTTTTATTTTATATGTTACCTATAAAATGTATTGTTGCTTTATTAAGAGAAATAACGATTATTGCTGCTGTATACAAATATTTAATAAGCGCAATACGCCTTGTATTGAATTATTAAACACGAATCAAAAGTTAGTAATTCTATTGAGTTAACTGAAGTCTCATCATCAGACGATGATAAAAAGGATTCTTTATCCTTACCCAACATGCCAGTGCAAAATAAAATGAAAAGAACATTTGGTAAATTCAACTTTTCAAATAGAAACTTATGTAATAATT